GCTAATTGCTCTTAGTCCAAATGCGCATCGGCCGAGGTCGTGCCGCTACAATTATTTTCACAACAATTTGTTATACTGTAACAAAAAGACATGACTAACCTTGATTCGCTCGCCTTTCTTATCCACTTGTTACAATCGGATCAAACACCAATTAAGTTTCCGGGCTCATCTGCAACACGTAGTATAAATATTGTAACGATGTTGGTCTGGATTAGTGATAAAAAGTATCCGAAAGCGGGATGTTTCTCTGGCAACCTCGGGAAACAATGAAGGAAGGGTACGTCTTCAAACAGCTGTTTCCAAAATGGAGTTAGCCATCCCATAGCCAATCAAACATCGTGTGCAGATTCAGGCTTAAATTTCACTCAAGCGTTGTCACTGCCAATAATTTCAGTGCAACTCTTCAGAACTTCAAATATGTAAACGAGTAGAATGTGACAACAAAGTTTTAGACTAATTCTCAAATCGCATGTAAATGGTCGCCTATTGTGATTACATTGATTATTATATTTAAAAATATAGAATTTTATATTCTATTCTATTGTGTTCTGGGCCCGGTTTCCCGATATGGATCGTTCTGGGCCTGGTTTCCCGATTTGGCACATCATTGCGCACATGTTATTGAGACAAATTACAGACAGTAGCCTACAAGTAGAAAGAAAGGCATTTCAGTGTGGCCTACTTGTGCACCTGACATTAAAACGAGAAACTTCAAATAGAACTCAATTCAACATGCAATGTATTTCAATATGATTGAAATAGGCCTATAGTGTACTGTTAATAATTTAATGCATTCATCTCGGTTTTCATTAGATTATGACGTTTTCAAGTGCAACGTTAATGATGGTTTTGGGAAACAGCTCAGCGAATTTATTGATGTGCCTATGGAGGTTCTTACGATGAACTTAGCCTTAATATGCTTTTGGGAAGCCGGGCCCTGTTCTATTCTACCCATGCATTCCCTAGGACATGGATCATCAACTAGATTCAGCCCCGGGACAATTTTTACTTGAGTGGATGGTCAGGGGGCCAGAACATAATTACAAATAATTTGTAGACTGCAAATTGACTGCAAGAAGCCCAAACAGATATAATGTTTGACTAAAACATAATCATTTCAAACCTTGCTTACATTTGTATACGATCACATATATCTCGCTATTATGTGTGGGAATACTTTGGAACCGATTTCCAAAATTAAAATCACTTGGAGAGGATTTGCTGGTGTTTTTACAGTCTTTTATGTTCAACAATAAAATAAAATAAAACACTTTTTTTTGCTCAGAATACTTTGGGGCCAAATACAATAACCCGCGGGCCAAATTCGTACCGTGGGCCGATAGTTGGGGAACACTGCCCTAGGATCTCTATGTGCAAACCATCCTTTCTAGGCCTAATGGTCATGTAAGGGTTTTGCAGAATACACAACATCTGCATTTGAAATTAGTTTATTAATCTCTTGATCAATATAGGCCTACTCTGTAATATGAGGGAGGATACTGCAGACATACTTAGAAAAAGAAATGTTTTAGTTAATTACAATATAACATTGTGCAATGTAACAATGACAAAATAAAATATATTTATAAAACACTTTGGCCTTTCCTAAAATAATGAATTATAGGCCTATATATATATATATATATATATATAGAGAGAGAGAGAGAGAGAGAGAGAGAGAGAGAGGAGCGACAGAGAGAGACAGAGAGAGACAGACAGAGAGACAGACAGACAGACCAACAGACAGACAGAGGGAGAGAGAGAGAGAGAGAAAGTTCATCTGCACAATATTACCTAATCTCTAAATGACCTGTGGTAATAATAAAATATTTGGCAAAGAATGACATATAGCTCCAGTGTTGCTGGGTGGGTATCCCAATAGAACTGGCTTCTGTACCCTGGGTTGAGATTAAAATAGGTAAAACAGAACATTATGGGCCGGTTTTCCAATCACAGATTAGGCCTAGTTCTGTATTAATGGAGAATTTCCATTGAACATGCTTTTTAGTCTAGGACTATGCTTAATCTGTGTCCAGGAAACCAGCCCTAAGTGTTGTCTATATTGGTATAATGCAAAGAAAACATAAAGCAGGTATCTATTTGTACATATGAAAATAATTATCTGTCTGTGGATTCAAACTTGTCTAGAACAATGCATAAACAAGGCCGTTTCATGTAGATAAATGTCAGCTATGTTGACGTTAATATGTAATATTGTAGTTAGTTATTACTATTTTACAACTATCCACTATTTACAATGCTTGTGGGTGACATCAAATCAGGATGAAGAGAAATAACCAACCTGGACTCAGGGGTAGACGTAACATAGTAAATGTAAATCTGTCTCCCTCCATTTAATATATGTTACGTTTAGTATGGTATGAATTCATTTGTGGATAATTTCTTATATGTTATGAATTACAATTTATATGATATGTTAATGATTGCAATTCGTACAATGTGTTACAAATCGGCAGTACGTATGATATGTTACGAATTCCAATTTGTTGTGGCTAACATTAGCTAGGCTAGAGGTTAGGGTTAAGGTTAGGGGAAGGGTTAGCTAGCTACAACAAATTGTTAGCTAGCTAACATGCTAAGTAGTTGCAAAGTACAGTGGGGAGAACAAGTATTTGATACACTGCCGATTTTGCAGGTTTTCCTACTTACAAAGCATGTAGAGGTCTGTAATTTTTATCATAGGTACACTTCAAATGTGAGAGATCTCACCTCGTGGGGCATCAATGATCATGAGGAAGGTGAGGGATCAGCCCAGAATTACACGGCAGGACCTGGTCAATGACCTGAAAAGAGCTGGGACCACAGTCTCAAAGAAAACCATTAGTAACACACTACGCCGTCATGGATAAAAATCCTGCAGAACACGCAAGGTCCCCCTGTTCAAGCCAGCGCATGTCCAGGCCCGTCTGAAGTTTGCCAATGACCATCTGGATGATCCAGAGGAGGAATGGGAGAAGGTCATGTGGTCTGATGAGACAAAAATATAGCTTTTTGGTCTAAACTCCACTCGCCGTGTTTGGAGGAAGAAGAAGGATGAGTACAACCCCAAGAACACCATCCCAACCGTGAAGCATGGAGGTGGAAACATCATTCTTTGGGGATGCTTTTCTGCAAAGGGGACAGGACGACTGCACCGTATTGAGGGGAGGATGGATGGGGCCATGTATCACGAGATCTTGGCCAACAACCTCCTTCCCTCAGTAAGAGCATTGAAGATGGGTCGTTGCTGGGTCTTCCAGCATGACAACGACCCGAAACACACAGCCAGGGCAACTAAGGAGTGGCTCCGTAAGAAGCATCTCAAGGTCCTGGAGTGGCCTAGCCAGTCTCCAGACCTGAACCCAATAGAAAATCTTTGGAGGGAGCTGAAAGTCCGTATTGCCCAGTGACATCCCCGAAACCTGAAGGATCTGGAGAAGGTCTGTATGGAGGAGTGGGCCAAAATCCCTGCTGCAGTGTGTGCAAATCTGGTCAAGACCTACAGGAAACGTATGATCTCTGTAATTGCAAACAAAGGTTTCTGTACCAAATATTAAGTTCTGCTTTTCTGATGTATCAAATACTTATGTCATGCAATAAAATGCAAATTAATTACTTAAAAATCATACAATGTGATTTTCTGGATTCTTGTTTTAGATTCCATCTCTCATAGTTGAAGTGTACCTATGATAAAAATTACAGAGCTCTACATGCTTTGTAAGTAGCAAAACCTGCAAAATCGGCAGTGTATCAAATACTTGTTCTCCCCACTGTATCTAAAAAGTAGTAAGTAGTTGCAAAGTTGCTAATTAGCTAAAGTTGTCTGTGATGTGGTTCGATACACGCAACCTTTGGGTTGCTAGATGTTTGTGTTATACGTCCACCCATCCTCCCTGACCAACCTCCCTACTTTTGTTTTTGCCTTAAGTAACCTTCTGTCTTATGTAACCATACCAAATGTAACATATCATACTAATTGGAGGGTCACAGATGTATGTTTACTATGTTACGTCTTTGAAGCCAGGCTAGTAAAATGAGTCTTAATTTGTAAGTCGCTCTGGATAAGAGCGTCTGCTAAATGACGTAAACGTAAACATTAATAAGAACGAATGCACATCAATATCGCTTTTCGTGTCATACTGTAGGCTAGGGCTCTCAGTAACTCTGACATTACTGGTCTTGAGTGGCTCAGTTAGTAAGAGCGTGGCACCAGCAATGGCAAGTTCATCACTGGTTTAAATTCCTGCAGGGATCACATACACATGCTAAAATTGTAGGCTATCCACTCACTGCACTGTAAGTTGCTTTGGATAAAAGTGGCAACCTTGTATGGTTACAAATTAAACCCCATTCATAACCATTTGCACATCTATCATTATCGAAAATAGATTAAGGCATGGATCCGGTATAGCTACAACATGGTGTTTGAATATGACCATGCAGAGGAAGTCTAATAGGAACAGCCTCAGTACGTGTATTCTGAGAAATTAAGGAGAAAGCGGAAGTGAGTGGCATTTCAAATGGGCACAGTTGATCGTCTTCCTCTATAGGAAATAAATGAAACACTGGAAATTGTTTAAAACCGAGAGGCAGCTCCTATAAAGCCTCTTTGCCAGAACCTAAAGCTGCCTTATGCTTGGCCATGTAGTAGGCCCTGTACTCGTAAAGGGTCTCAGAGTAGCAGTAATTAGAATCAGGTCCCCTGTGTCCATATAATTGTATTCATTATGATCTCAAAGGTAAAACTGATCCTATATCAGCACTCCTACTCTGAGACGCTTTTTGATTATGGCCCCAGACGACTCTTTAGCTCCTCCTGTAGTGATTTCTACTAAATAACATTGACAACTTGCCCCATGGGACTACGATAAAACATAAATACATTGTTCAAAAGGAACAGTAGAGTCCTCATAGCCTGGTCCCAGATCTAGTTGTGCTGTTTTACCAACTCCTATGGTCATTGTCACATAAATGACTATAGGCGTTGGCAAGACAGCACAAACACATCTGGGACCAGGCTAGTGTCCTCACAATAGTTAAACAAGAGAGACGTAATGGTCAGTATCAGTAACAGTAGTAGAGCTGAGAGCGTAGCCCCCTGAAGGTGTCATCATCCTGGGCAGCACCACTGGGCTGCTGCCCTTCTAACAGCATGGAGTCTGGGAGAACTAGGCCCTCTAGAGGATCTGGCTGGCAGAACTCCACTATAAACTCCTCCTCAGAGTCCAGTAATGTCTTTGACCAGGCTGACATGTCGAGGTGGCCGGCCACCCCACCATACTCCTCTGGCAGGACGGATCGAGGGATGTTGCGGTGAAGAGAGCGCAGGTCTGACCCATGGAGAACGTACTGTATGAAAAATAAAGGGAATTATGTTAGGCTGATGTGTCACAGAATCACAAAGGAGCATACAGTACTTCAAGTACTCCTGTTCATTTGATAAAGTTTATTCATAATGGCTTTAAATACATTTGAAATCACTGAAAATCATATCACCGGTACCCCCTGTATATAGCCTCGTTATTGTTATTTTATTGTGTTACTTTTATTTTATTTTTTACTTTAGTTTATTTAGTAAATATTTTCTTAACTCTATATTCTTAAAACTGCATTGTTGGTTAAGGGCTTGTAAGTAAGCATTTCACGGTAAGGTCTACACCTGTTGTATTCGGCGCATGTGACAAATACAATTTGATTTGATTTGATATGAGATACATTTAATCTGAATACAGTGATCAAAATTCAACAGGCTACTGTGTAGAGAAAAAGGAGGATATGAAGAAAGACTCACCCTCTCTGCCATCTTCTCCTTCAAAAAAGGCTTCATTATTGCAAAGATCCCTTTGAAAATCCGGGGCTCATTTATGATGTTAACAGCCTTGATTCTTATTGGGAAGCTATCCTAAAATGCAACATTGAAATTAAAATCTATTTATATTATTGACACAATACACAAGCCAATAGTATCTTTCTTAAGGGGGTTTGATAAGATCAATATTTGAGATCTGATCTGAATGTACTTTGATCACACTGTTATGGGTGATAATATAAAAACTTAAATATCAGAACAGTAATAAGGTTACCTGAAGGATGCTGACAACCTTCTTGGCCAGGAATGGGCCCGGATTGGATGCCTGAGACAAGCCCACCCCAGTGTAGTCTGCTAAAATGACGATCCCATTAACCTGAGTCTCCTCTGGCTGAATCAGCTTCTCCAGAGTCAGGTAAATGGCCCGGATGTTGTCCTCAAATGGATAATCATTCGCTTTCCATTTTCCTGTTGTAAAATAATGAGTATATAGTAACACTGAAAAAGGTCAAGCATAGGACAATCTTAATCTGTTAGGCTATTGCTATTGGCAGACATGTTTTCAAGATTCAGATTTTTTGTTGTTGCTATAGATGTTTATGAGCAGCTATTAGCTCCTATGTCATGCATTATAGTGTATTATAAACTGGGTGGTTCGAGCTCTGAATGCTGATTGGCTGACAGGCGTGGTATATCAGACATTAAAAACTGGGTGGTTCGAGCCCTGAATGCTGATTGGCTGAATGCTGTGGCATATCAGACCGTATACCATGGGTATGACAAAACATGTATTTTTACTGCTCTGATTACATTGGTAACCAGTTTATAATAGCAGTAAGGCACCTCGGGGGGTTTGTGATATATGGCCAATATACCAAGGCTAAGGGCTGTGTCCTAGCACTCTGCGTTGCGTCATGCATAAGAACAGCCCTTAGCCGTGGTATATTGGCCATATACCACACCCCCTCAGGCCTTATTGCTTAAGTATACCAAGGGTATAACAAAACATTTATTTTTACTGCTCTAATTCCATTGGTAACCAGTTTGTAATAGCAATAAGGCACTTCGGAGGGTTTGTGGTATATGGCCACTCCGCTTTGCGTTATGCCTAAGAACATCCCTTAGCCGTGGTATGTTGGCCATATACCACACCCCCTCGTGCCTTACTGCTTAATTATACATAGCTCACAGGGCATTGTAAATGCGCTTATAATGCAGGTTTGGGTAAAGCAGAAGACCAATTTCCGTCTCCTATGGATTAAATAATATTTTATTATATTGTTCTATTCTTCTATGAAGAGTATGTTCATATGAACTGTTACCAAATAAAGATGGAAAAAAAATAGAGTTAGAGCTCTTCTTGGACATAGAAAGCTTATTCAACATGGAAAGACAGTAAATAGTGCAAGCTAACACACTGACCAGGTCTGAGACAGAGGATGTAGCGTCCATTAGGGTCTGGATGGGGCAGGACAGTGAGGAAGCCCAGGTCTAACACATGTTTGATTGTGGAAGGCTTCAGGTCCTGGAAGACCTCAGGCCAGGCCCGCCGACTGGTATGGTAGTTAAGGAGAAGCTGCATGGCACGGTCATAGTCAAACTTCCTGGTGGTTGGACAAGGAGATGGGACAGAGCAACATTATGTTAGCATTAAGATAGAACATCTTGAATAAGAAGAAACCAGGGCCTGTATTCATAAAGAGTCTTAGAGTATGAGTGCTGATCTAGGATCAGTTTTGACTTTCAAATCATAATTATATGATTATATGGACAGGGGGGGCCTGATCCTAGATCAGAACTCCTACTCTGAGACGCTTAGGGACAGTTTCCCAGAGCATTGCACAGAGCATTATGGGTAGGTACTGTAGTACATCATGCTATACCTGGCCCGTAGAAAGCGTAGGAGGAAGGCATCATCCAGCCTGGTCCGGAGGTTAGGCTGCTCCTTCAGCACCATGTCCCTCAGGGCCTGCACGTCTCTCAGCCTCCACTCTGGCTTCTCCTGTAGCTCCTCCCGGGCCTTGGCCACCAGCTCAGGGGTCAGAGTGCAGGAGTAGATGGGTGGCGGAGGGCCGGGGAACCTGTAACCAGCCACTGGTGGTTCCAGAGGAGGCGGAGACCCAAGATCAATGTGCCTCATAGGCACGCTTTCTTCAGACATCATTTTGGCCACTAAAATATAAACAAATATAAAACAATACAGCAGAAATAGTCATGGTACAAGAAAACCTGGACTGGAGAGCATCACAAGACAGTAGAACCACATGAGAAATACCACAATTACCACAGGCCATCTCTAAGGTTGTTATCAGCAATTAGTCATACGCTGTAGCCACAAAATGGTGTGTATTCTCTAGTCTAGTCTACAGCAACAGCAGTGACCTAAACAACATAAATGTTACGACAATATCTTGAAAACACTGTCTTGTAAACATTATCCTGTATTTCCCATAAATTCTGCTTTTGACAGCGCTGCACTCGAGAAGCTGTGCTTACAAGACACTGCAGCTTCTGAATACCAACCGGAACGACAATTGAATTAGTATTTCCACAGGGTAAAAAAAATAAATAATCTTTGGATTTCCAGGGTCGAAAGTGTTATCCAGACGACTGCTTGGCAAACCATAACAGAAGCTGCCAAAAACAAACCAACCTTTCTGGGTTTCCATTAGTTACCACAGCCACAACGTCAACATTGGCTGTATCGTAAAAATTCATTTCAACCAAAATTCGCTTTTTGGTCTTAATTTATGGTCAGGGTTAGGCATAAGGTTATCAGTGTGGTTAAGGTTAGGGTTAGGTTTAAAATCACATTTTGAGAAGATAAATTGTAGAAATGGGCTGGGTTAATAACTTTGTGGCTGTAATAACTAGTGACGACCACATTTCTGGAGCGTTCCGCAGCCAGTTCCGGGTGGCTCGAGATTCTTTCTCTCTTTGGTTACTCTGTAGCATGTGATGAGCTGCGTCATTCAGTACTTGCTTCATTGTAACAACAAATCATCATCAAAACTTACTACATTGCGATCTTGGTAGCCTACTACTGTATTGAATCTCTTGGTTTGTCTTTTGTAGTATATATCTACCCCTAAATAGGCTATTATGAATTGTGTTGGCTTTAGTTTTTTATTTTCAATTAGCCTACATATTTATGCAGATGAAATTAAAATATAATTTATGATATACACTTTATATTTAATCCTCGTCACCCTAAAACGGTTAACCTAGGCCTTCTATAATGTGAAGTAAAGTCCATGCGCGTGATACGCGCCTGATAATGGACAGGTTTTCTGCGGTCATTGCATCCGATAGATGGTGCAATTGCACCACAAACGTCGGTTGGTAGGCCTAGAGATTGAGCAAATTGTATTAAACGTTTGCGTTACAGCTGTACTCTTTTGGCTTCAATGGACAGATCATAGAAATGATAAATAGACAGTAGCCTTTTCTATTGCACTGTCGCTTCTACACGCTCCTAAACATGCCTGTAAGACCACACTACTCCACACATTGGACCGCAATGAACTGGTAAACTCTTTATTTCACTACACCTGTTTACAAAACTCGAAGTTGGCGTATTACTGTAACGAGAAATGGAGGGGAGGTGGCAGAGATAACCAATACAACATGCTAGAAATGTGTGCAAAAAAAACGTGTGTCTTGAACCCATCGATGAAGATATTACTGACTTTTTCTTTAGCCTACTCGAGTAGAAAAATAAGCTATGAGAAGCTTTCAATCACAGTTATCTGCAATTACTTTATGACATTTTATCAGCTTGAAGAAACACCCCATGTACTATTTATCCTGACCATGCACTGCCACGTAGGCCACAGCTTTTCATTCGTCAGAGACTAAAACTGCTTACAAGCAATTCGAACTGGTTTTGAAATGTCACTTTAATTCTTTAGCCAGGGTTAACCTGTCCTCGGTAAAGAAACATTGAATAGCATTATGGTCATTGACCATTATCCATATTATAATAGTATGCTAATAATAATTGAGAAATACACATCTTCATGATTGTAGGCTATCTTCATCTTCAATATCAAAGTTTAGTAATAACTAAGAACAGTAAAATGAAGATAACAAACCATCTAGTTTGCTCGTTCACTTAACTTTTTGTACAATATTGACTTCGCCAGCAAAGTGTGTGATAGATAGAGGGTGACAGGAGGAGACCTCTGAAATAATGTAGCAAATTATATTTTTCCTACTGACATAAAATCAGGGTTTAACAGTGGAAAGGCTATGCTGTCTACATTTACATTTTGATGTTATTGGTCTCATACCATATAAGTTAAGGTTCCATATGTTCCATTAGTACATGTATTGTGTAATTTAAATAACGGGCAGTGCAATGTGATGTAAAAATAAACATTGACATTTTATTCATCTTCACATTGTAAGGTGAAACATATTGCCAATCTTTCCAGTGTAAGGCAGTATTCAATGAAAGGCAGTTTATTCAGTCATTTAGTAGTTATAATACCATTACACAAAAGGATTCTATGGTCAAACAAAATACACTAGCATGTCTTTACAGTAAAACTGTAAATATTTGTTATATCTAAACACCAATGCAATGCATTTATTTGAAATTGGAAAACATTGTGAATTCCTCAACTTGTGAATGCCTTAAGCTTTTATAAAGTGGCTCCACAGAAAGTATACAGTATTAAATGGACTGAGCTGTTTTAATTCAAACCTTTAAGCATGTTACTACAGAACTAAATAGCGATTTCTAAAACATATAGACAGGGACATATTAAACCTGGATTTCAATGAAACACAACTGTCATACAGCAAGTTGAAGAGAACTATAAAAAAAAAAGAATAAAAAAAAAGAAAGAAATCTGAACCAATTGACTACCTATTATATAGCTATGTCTGTCACATAATTACATTATTTAAAAACATGACAATGTCGCTCTCATCTCTAGTCTGCTTGATACTACATTGTACATGCAATAATATAAGTAGGCCTATGTACCTCTGGTGGGGGTCAGTTGACTAATGTATCCCAACTGTACAGTACACTCCTGAGATTAGTTGAGAATACGTATTTCTCACATCTGAATTGTTTTTCACCTTTATACTGAGTATGTATAAAGAAACAGAGATACTAGTGAAGATTTTGAAATTGTGAATGCTTTGTTGGATGGGGTTTGTGGGGTCCAGTTCTGTGTTAGATGGCTTCTTGTTTGGTGATGGTTGGCAGAGGGATGGAGCTAGATTGCTTGGGCACAGTGGCTATAACCCCTTGAGCCATCTTATAGTGTTCTGAGCTGGAGGCTGTGGGAGGAGAGGGAATTGGGGTTTCAGGAGTGGCTGCAACAAACCGGAAAGAATCAGTTATTGGAGGAATTCACTAAACTACACAGTCAGTCAGGTACACAACAAAGCAGCATATTTACCTTGTGGCATGACATTACTTGGAAAGAAAACACTTTTTTTTTCAGACAAGGAATAAGCACTTTTGTGAAATTTCTGAGGGCATTAAAAATGTTAAGAAAAAATAACAGACGTTTTCTTTGACAAAGTAAGCCTGATTAGTCTCTCTGAAGAATTTAGTGGATTATTCTGCCAAGCTTGTTTGTCCTTCCAACTACCTGACTCTGTTGCAAATGGGAGTGGATTGATGCCACTGAGCCCATCGTTCGTTGAGAGTCTCAAGCATTTTTAGGTACATTTTGTGGTCGGTGTCCCGGACACAACTTTCAGTGCTTTTGAGTCCAGGACTAGGCTTAATCTGTTTTTGGGGAACCTGCCCTCAGAGTTGGACATTTAGAGTGAGGCATATGATGTTATTGGTACTCACAGATTTGGCCGTTATGGATGGGAGTAGCCATATTGCTGGCCACGATGACATTGTTGCTGAGGTGTTCCTGAACCAGATGTGGATGCAGAGAGTGAGGTGTGTGAGGTGCCTCGTTTGCAGAACCTGAGGAAAACCACGCAACATACAAAAATACCACAAACAGTTAGTTTCCTCATTCACTGTGACACTGTCCATTGGTAATACAGTATGATAACCAACTAGCATTTTATCCTATTGAAGAGTGTAAACTTCTTTAGCCAATAGAACTCATGGAAACTTGTTTGTACTCAATTATTTTGGCATTACTTTTGGCCATAGATTTAGAATTTTTCTTTCTTAGTAACAATATCAAGAAGGCTAACCTCCTAAGAGCATCTCTTGGAGCAGGTTGTCAATCTTGGCCATCCCAAATAGCTTGACAAACTGTATCTGTTCGATCATCTGCCAGGTGATGCTCTGTAGTGTAGGCAGCAGCAGGAGCAACTCTCCGAAGCGTCCCCGGGAGTCATACTGCCGGTCGTTGATGTAGTCCTCTAGGCTGACCTGAACCTGGTAACGCATCCGCTTGATCTTACTGGGGTCACTCAGACCTTTGGCATCTGGAGCAGGAGAGAGTAGGTGTTTGGTCAATAGCTTGGTCACTCACTGCCTGGTCATATTGCTCATAGAACAACCATTTCTAGTCAATAGTTTTGTTACTCACGGGTAACATAATTTTTATTTTGCAACACAAACGTTACTGCCCTAGAATGTGTCATATGATGTCTCACTTTGAATGTGATGATAGTCTGTTTATTTTAAAAGTGATGTTGTGTTTCATGTAGTACCTGGATCGAAGAAAACAATGGCCTTCAAACAAGCGTATTCATTGTCGTCTATCTGGTGCTCCTGGAAGGACAGCACTAGCTCGTCCAGAATCCTCACTGCTACCCGGCTCACTTCCAACTCTGGGCAGTTCCGGGGAATAATGTGGTCGTTTCCTATAAAGAACATAAACAAATAACTGTCTTGTAGGGCAGGATCACTCTGTGTTTGATCATCCCCCCCCCCCCAAACAAGTATCATATATAATTGCTAGCATAAACTATTATGACTATTATAACTAGTCTATTATATGACATATGTGATGTACTGTAGCTAAGATGTTATCTTGACTTTACCTAACAGCAGGATGTCCTTGTACAACATAGACCTCTTTGCAACTCCAAGCAGAAGATGCTCTCCAGCATGAGCTCGCAGCAACGCCACCTGAAACAAAGTAAAGTCATTTAATGATTAGCTTTAACCTTGACACTGTCTTGCAGCAAAACACCTCTTATCAGCATACATGCTAGTCTCCATGTTAACTGTCTTTTCTACAAAACCATTTATTTGATAAGACGTGGGAAATATTCAGGGTTGGGGAGGAACTTATTACATGTAGGCAGTTACATGTAATCTGATTACAAATAACTGTTACTGGAATCAGTTATGTTATCAGCAAAAAATATTGTAATCGGATTACAAATACTTGTGAAAAACTAGATGATTACTTCTTGGATTACTTTTACATTCAGAAAGGATGTTTGTGGAAAGAATACATTATGACACCTTTCTGTTTTCTCAATTACATTGAATTCAGCATTGAGAAAGTTTTTGTTTGTTCCACCTGAGCGAGTCTGACCACAAGTCAGAGACCACTATGATGACACACCAAATGCATTTGATTTATTTAAAAAAATGTATTGAACCTTTAGCAGCAGGGAGTCATGCTGAGACCAAGGTCTCTTTTACAGAAGAGCCCTGTAATTATGTTTAGGAGGAATATCTTCACAGTTTGATGGATTTCTTTTTGTCTTCTTCTAATGCCTCTTAAGGGGAAAGTAATCAAAAAGTAACTGAAAGTAATCTGATGACGTTACACGTTACTGATTACAATTTTGGACAGATAACTAGTAAATGTAACGGATTACATTTAGAAAGTAACCTACCCAACCCTGGAAATATTATACCACTTATGCCACTTATACCTAACCATTAAACAAGGAAGCTTTCCCACCACCTTTTAGGTCACTGAAGAGCTGACCAGAGTCAAGTAAGTGTGTGAAGATACACTTGTTGGATCCCTCACTAATTCAACATCAGCAAATCAGTTACCAAGCCCTGGTGATCATGGTGTTAATGATTCTGGAATGGTTCTGAGCACAGATAGAACTTTCAAACCAGCTCATCATATTCTAACTGGTGATTCAAATACATTAACCACTTCTTTGGATTCTGAGGTCTTTAAAAACCGCAGCAGCACTCCCTACTCAAAATGCTGATTGGAAAGATGTATATTCCCTGGACACATAGCTTTAAGTTGTTATTTTTAAGAATGACAATAATACTTATATTTAACTCCTACATTATTTTTTATCCCAGCCCCTGTCCCCACAGGAGGCCTTTTGCATCTTGCTAAGCCCCCATTGTAAATATAATTGTTGTTCTTAATTGACTTGCCTGGTTAAATAAAGGTTAAATAAAATACTTTCATTATCTATCAGACTGGTTTCCTGCCCTATATTGCAGGCTTTTTAGTCCAAGACAAAATGGGCCATAAAGTGCAATACCCTAGAATGAGAGTAGTATGGTTTAGTCCAACCTTAGTCTATCACTGTAAAGTCTAGTGCAATGTCTTACCTGGTCATCCAGAGGCAGATCACAGAAGGCAGGGATGTACTTGGCCCATTCTACCAGCACCAGCAGCTGCTGTTTCATTGATTCACACACATCTGTGATGGTCGCTATCTTTTTCGTCCTGATGTCACCATTCAGTATGGGCCCAGGTGAGGATATCTACACACACGCACGCACACACACACACACACACACACACACAATAATAAATAAATGTGTGCCCTAATTATAAACACCACTTATTTAACCCAAATAAATTCAATTCCATTCCGTTCAATACAACTTTTTACCCCCTCTGGGGCAATTAAAAATTACTTTAAAATGCTTACATGATGTCGATCGAAATAGCCATATCCATGGGCCTTACCTGTCTTGAGAGTACATCTGCCTGGATGAGTGCATTGATAGATGGTAAACTGCTGTCTTCATAGCTAGATCTCCTGGTGCTGATTCTGTCTCTTTCGTTCTGTACAGCTGAGAAACAAATAAACCGTGGCTATCAGAATAGAGTATATATTTTATTATCTATTGTTCACCAGAAACTGTTCAGTCAAAACACTCCCCATACTGTCATTCTGACTCAACTTGACAAACCTACAAAGTCATACAACTCAAATATGCCATTCCTTTCATACACAGTAAAACACATGTAATCAACGGTGCATACAATATTATCTGACAGTCTTTAATAATTCTTAGGGGGATATTATCATTGACTCATATTAGCATTGACTCTGAGGGAGACAAAAGTCTCCCAAGGTAGATGTGTTTATCAGTATGTGTGGCTATAATTCCCCCACAGAACTGTTTGCTTAGCATAAGCCGGTCATAGACTTCAGTGCATCATGGAGTCAACATTAACAAAGTGCTGGTCTCCTGGCTCTTGCAACATACCTCATGACAAGGCTCTGCTTGGCTCTACAACACTATGATAGGGACTGGCTGATAACAATGGGACGTTCTAGTTCTAGGATATCCTTTACCAGAGATTATGAAATAATAACTGCTAGTGTCATCACATTCTTGTACAAAAAGTAGAGATTGAGCATAATACGTACTACCTCAATCTCAATCATCTCAATCATCTCAATCATCTCAATCATCTCAGTCATCTCAATCATCTCAATCATCTCAATCATCTCAATCATCTCAATCATCTCAATCATCTCAGTCATCTCAATCATCTCCAATCATCTCAATCATCTCAATCATCTCAGTCATCTCCAATCATCTCAATCATCTCCAATCATCTCAATCATCTCAATCATCTCAGTCATCTCAATCATCTCAATCATCTCAATCATCTCAATCATCTCAATCATCTCAATCATCTCAGTCATCTCAATCATCTCCAATCATCTCAATCATCTCAATCATCTCAGTCATCTCCAATCATCTCAATCATCTCCAATCATCTCAATCATCTCAATCATCTCAGTCATCTCAATCATCTCAATCATCTCCAATCATCTCAATCATCTCAATCATCTCAGTCATCTCCAATCATCTCCAATCATCTCAATCATCTCAATCATCTCAGTCATCTCAATCATCTCAATCATTTTTTCACTCTTTCACTCTTATAAATTACCATTTGAATGAAGTGGAATTAATTGTATACCTTCTTTTTTCATGCCAGCTCGAAAGCATTTCTTCAATCGACAGTATCTGCATTGATTCCTTTTGTCTTTGTCCACAATGCACTGTCTGTTGAACCTGGAGAAGGGAGTTAGAAGAAGGCTTTATGATGAATTGTGTTGCAGTAGAGAGAAAACTGTTGTTGAATATGTCAGTATCATTATTGCAACCATCTGTATGTCATGCTTTCATTGTTATCTCTGGCTCTAGAGGCATAAATCAGCAATTGCAACTTTGTCATTATTCTTACCAAATAGACCAGAATATGGTGGTTCTTTTGTTTACCCTTGTGTATAATGTACTGTAAGCCTGATCCTCACCTGCATGAGTACATGTGGTTTTTGCGAACACTCCGGCGGAAAAAGCCTTTGCAGCCGTCACAGCTAGAGGCCCCGTAGTGCTTGCCCGTGGCCCTGTCCCCACAGATGGCACACAGGGCGGTCGCCCCGAGGTGGTTGGCTGTGTTCATGTTGGCACTCTCAGCCGGTGAGGAGTCTGAAACAACAGACAGAGAGATATTGTGGGTGCTACATTATGTAAAGCATTTTGAGCTGTGGAAAAGTGCTATATAAATTCAATCTTCCTCATCAGGTCAGGAGGTCTTTGGGTCATCAATGTTTGACTTAGGAAAGAGGATATGTATGTGTGCAGTGGTATTAGTAGTTACTAGACATTTTTGACGACTGTATGAAATAATTCACAGCTTGGAACTTGGTGGAAGGTATCCTGTGAGGATAGGGATGGATGGTGTGGAGTGACTAGTTGAAAACAGTTAGAAGGGATAGAACTGAAGGAAATGTTATGTGATCCTGAAATATTTGTTACTGCTATAAAATGTGAAAAAGTCACGTTTCTACTCTTAGCTCTCTCAGTCCTCATTTATTGACTAATTGGTCAATAGAATGACTGAATATTATATTCAGTCATTAACTTAACATACTGGTTTCATTTAAAAGGTGAGAACGACAGGCATCAAGTGATTACATTAAAGTCAGTCAGTGTCATTGCTGATTGATCAAATGGGCTAATACGGCTCTGATCAGGCTATGGTCTATTACAGTAGTATATACTGCCTATCTGAGTAGTAGCTGAAAGCCCAGTCAAGGTAAACAGTAACTGATCTAGGCTTGATTACCTCAGAAAAGGCAATCACTGGAGACAGACAGTCTTAATCTCAGTCTCACCCTCCCTCAAAGTCATCAATGAGATGACTGGTTCAATCAATCATACAGTATGGAACGTTTCTGCTAACACTTTACATTAAGTTACTCTTAGTTATACCTGTGTAGTAAAGCTGTAATTACACTAGTAAAAACATTTATTGTTGAAATAAACAACACATATACAATTGAACTGTATGCTGTTTACGTATCATAAAAAATCGGAATATTTATGTGGATAAGCCAGTACAATTAGTAAGGGCTAGCAAAGATGATATTGGCCATGCAATGTGATTATCTTTCAAGGGTCATTGCCTTTTCTTCCTCAGAGGAAATTGTTTCATTTCAGAATCAAGTTCACGGCCAAACGTCATGGGAGACTAGAAAGGCCAATGTTTCACTTTCAAAAAGCCTATCATGCTGTCAAAGAACTCTGAGAAACGCTTTTCTCATTGTATGGACCTCAAAATGCGTGGGAACATAGATGTAGGTAACAAGAGATGGATGTCCATGTCACTTAAGTCACTATCGCCGAGAATGAATATCTATTCGTTGTAACTCTATCTTAGGTGAAATATGACCAATATACCATAACAGTACAAGTTAAACAGGATAAGGTAATTCTCTACCAAACAATTGTTTCACCACCAAATCATCCAGATGCATTAAGTGTATTGTCCAAAACCCCTGAATGTTTTACTACTGCAACAAGAGGTGATCATATTATCAGGAAAGAATCACATTCTCATCCTTTTGCATCCAATACAAGATGGGCAAATGACAGCTACTCTTGATAACATCAACTAAAACCCTCTGTCCAAACGTTTAGTAGCCAAAAGTCTCAAAGTTCAACCAGGCAACGTATGACTCTGACTCACCTGTGCCCATGGAGAGCACTTGCATGTTTTCAAACTCCAATGTGGTGTAGGCTGGGTCCAGGGTGTCACTATAGTCTGCCATTTCCATTTCCTCCAGTGCTTTGGACAAACAAATGCCCTCTCAGCTACCTGACAGCTGGGCAAAAAGACTTGTCCAAGAAGCTAAGTGCCCCCCCCCCCCCCCCCCCCCCCCCCCCATATTTGGCCAAGCTCCTCCTCCTAAAAGTAGATAGAGATACCCCTGAGTATGCGATGGGGACAGTCTCTCCTCCAGAGCTCTGGAGGTGGCCATGATAAGTCCGGGTCTGACTGACAGGAGAAGCTTCCTCACAGGCTGGCCCTCTATCCAGAGGAGGGGTGGGGTGGAAGTCTGGTTGATGATTAACTAGACTCCTCTATTGGTAAATCATGGTTGTTTTTCTCTCAAACATAACTTGGATCTCCACACGTCTGTTCAAAATCTATCATCTACTTAGAGAGATAGAGATAGCGTAGAGAGAGCGATAGCGCTCTCGAGCTGCGAGCTAGAGATCTCAGAGCGAGATATATATTCTATCTCTCCCTCTCTCGCTCTCTTTCTCTCTCTCTAGTCGCTATCTCGCTCTATTCTGCTATCTCTCTTCTCGTCTCTCACTATCTCTCTCATATCGCTCTCTCATCTCTCTCTCTCTCTCTCGCTCTCTCTCTCTCTCTCTCTCTCTCGACAGCTACTCTCACTCTTTCTCTCTCTTTCCACCCTGCTGTCAGTAATGGATCAACAATTATATCATGAGAGACATAAAATTAATGTTGAATCTCAGCCAAATCATTGTGCTTTACTTGCTTGAAATCCTCTTGTTGTTTCCTGCCAGTTATAACCATCAGATAACTAAATGTCTTTGACCAAAGAATTGGAAGCTCAACTTGTAGGCCAAGGCACTCTTAGCCAACGCCTTAATCAGGGCACCAAAGAGCATCTTATCATATTAATTATTATTGCAATCTGAGAGCACACCGATTATTTTGCCTTTTAGCTAGATGTTTTAATCAAATCTATACTCAACATGAAGAGAGGTGCAGCTCAACTGGAAGTAGTGTATCATGAGGGGGCCTCGGCCAACAGTCTAGATTCAGACCTATGTCCACGTGTAATATGTCTCTGGTAAATTTCAGTTAATTCTTGCATAATAAACAAGATAAATAACTATTGCTGATAACAAATTGTTGCCTTTATGTTAAAGAGTTCATTGTTTCATAAAATTATGTACGCACGTTACATAACAAAGCAATGTGACCCAACTCTTCAGAAACATTTTTGTTCAAAGAAATTGCTCCGTAGAGTCAAATGTAATGCTTTTTAGAACACTTTTTGGTCACTAATATCATTGGTTTGTCACCACTAGCCGGCCTCCACCCAGTACCCTGGCCTGAACTTTAGTCACTGTCACTAGCCGGCTACCACCCGGTTACTCAACCCTGCACCTTAGAGGCTGCTGCCTATGTACATAGACTTGGAACACTGGTCACTTTAATAATGAAACACTGGTCACTTTAATAATGTTTACATACTGTTTTACCCACTTCATATGTATATACTGTATTCTACTCTAGGCCATCCTATTTAGCTATTGCTGTACATATACTATTCTATCCTACATATTCTTCAGGTATACTATATATTCTATCCACATACTGTCCATAATGTCTATTCATCCCATCACAAGTGTAGCGAAATGCTTGTGTTCCAAGCTCGAACAGTGCAGTAATATCTAACAATACACAACAATACACACAACTCTAAAAAGAAAAATAGTGGAATTAAGAAATATAGAAATATTAGAAGTCCGTAGTATAATATATATATATTTATATATACAGTGCCTTCGGAAAGTATTCAGACCCCTTGACTTTTTCCACATTTTGTTACGTTTACAGCAATTTTAAGATATTTATACAAAATAAAAAACAGAAATACCGTATTTACACTACCGTTCAAAAGTTTGGGGTCACTTAGAAATGTCCTTGTTTTCCATGAAAACATACATGAAATGAGTTTGAATAGGAAATATAGCAAAATGCATAGGAAATGTAGTCATTAACAAGGTTAGAAATAATGATTTTTAATTGAAATAATAATTGTGTCCTTCAAACTTTGCTTTCGTCAAAGAATCCTCCATTTGCAGCAATTACAGCTTTGCAGACCTTTGGCATTCTAGTTGTCAATTTGTTGAGGCAATCTGAAGAGATTTCACCCTTTGCTTCCTGAAGCACCTCCCACAAGTTGGATTGGCTTGATGGGCACTTCTTACGTACCATACGGTCAAGCTGCTCCCACAACAGCTCAATAGGGTTGAGATCCGGTGACTGTGCTTGCCACTCCATTATAGACAGAATACCAGCTGACTGCTTCTTCCCTAAATAGTTATTGCATAGTTTGGAGCTGTGTTTTGGGTCATTGTCCTGTTGTAGGAGGAAATTGGCTCCAATCAAGCGCCGTCCACAGGGTATGGCATGGCGTTGCAAAATGGAGTGATAACCTTCCTTCTTCAAGATCCCTTTTACCCTGTACAAATCTCCCACTTTACCACCACCAAAGCACCCCCACATCATCACATTGCCTCCACCATGCTTGACAGATGGCATCAAGCACTCCTCCAGCATCTTTTCATTTGGTCTGCGTCTCAGAAATGTTCTTCTTTGTAATCCGAACACCTCGAACTTCAATTTGTCTGTCCATAACACTTTTTTCCAATCTTCCTCTGTCCAGTGTCTGTGTTCTTTTGCCCATCTTAATCTTTTCTTTTTATTGGCCAGTCTGAGATATGTCTTTTTCTTTGCCACTCTGCCTAGAAGGTCAGCATCCTGGAGTCGCCTCTTCAATGTTGACGTTGAGACTGGTGTTTTGCGGGTACTATTTAATGAAGCTGCCAGTTGAGGACCTGTGAGGCGTCTGTTTCTCAAACTAGACACTCTAATGTATTTGGCCTCCCACTCCTCTTTCTATTCTGGTTAGAGCCAATTTGCGCTGTTCTGTGAAGGGAATAGTACACAGCGTTGTAAGAGATCTTCAGTTTCTTGGCAATTTCTCGCATGGAATAGCCTTCATTTCTCAGAACAAGAATATATTGACGAGTTTCAGAAGAAAGTTCTTTGTTTCTGGCCATTTTGAGCCTGTAATCGAACTCACAATTGCTGATGCTCCAGATACTCAACTAGTCTCAAGAAGGCCAGTTTTATTGCTTTTTTAATCAGCACAACAGTTTTCAGCTGTGCTAACATAATTGCAAAAGGGTTTTCTAATGATCAATTAGCCTTTTAATATGATAAACTTGGATTAGCAAACACAACGTGCCATTGGAACACAGGACTGATGGTTGCTGATAATGGGCCTTTGTACGAATATGTAGATATTCCATTAAAGATCGTATTTACACTACCGTGAGGTCGAAGGAATTGTCCGTAGAGCTCCGAGACACGATTGTGTCGAGGCACAGATCTGGGGAAGGGTACCAAAACATTTCTGCAGCAGTGAAGGTCCCCAAGAACACAGTGGCCTCCATCATTCTTAAATGGAAGAAGTTTGGAACCACCAAGACTCTTCCTAGAGCTGGGCACTGAGCAATCGGGGGAGCAGGGCCTTGGTCAGAGAGGTGACCAAGAACCTTATGATTACTCTGACAGAGCTCCAGAGTTCCTCCTTGGAGATGGGAGAACCTTCCAGAAGGACAACCATCTCTGCAGTACTCCACCAATCAGGCCTTTATGGTAGAGTGGCCAGACGGAAGCCACTCCTCAGTAAAAGGCACATGACAGCCCGCTTGGAGTTTGCCAAAATGCACCTAAAGGACTCTCAGACCATGATTCTCTAGTCTGATGAAACCAAGATTGAACTCTTTGGCCTGAATGCCAAGCGTCACATCTGGAGAAAACCTGGCACCATCCCTACGGTGAAGCATGGTGGTGGCAGCATCCTGCTGTGGGGATGTTTTTCAGCGGCAGGGACTGGGAGACTAGTCAGGATCAAGGGAAAGATGAATGGAGCAAAGTACAGAGAGATCCTTGATGAAAACCTGCTCCAGAGTGCTCAGACTGGGGTGAAGGTTCACCTTCCAACAGGACAACGACCCTAAGCACATTATATTTTAGATTCTTCAAATTGCCACCCTTTGCCTTGATGACAGCTTTGCACACGCTTGGCATTCTCTCAACCAGCTTCACCTGGAATGTTTTTCCAACAGTCTTGAAGGAGTTCCCACATATGCTGAGAACTTGTTGGCTGCTTTTCCTTCACTCTGCGGTCCGACTCATCCCAAACCATCTCAATTTGGTTGTGGTCGGGGGAATGTGGAGGCCAGGTCATCTGATGCAGCACTCCATAACTCTCCTTCTTGGTAAAATAGTCCTTACACAGCCTGGAGGTGTGTTGGGTCATTGTCCTGTTGAAAAACAAAATGATAGTCCCACTAAGCCCACACCAGATGGGATGGCATATCGCTGCAGAATGCTGTGGTAGCCATGCTGGTTAAGTATGCCTTGAATTCTAAATAAATCACAGACAGTGTCACCAGCAAAGCACCCCCACACCATAACACCTCCTCCTCCATGCTTTACAGTGGGAAATACACATGCAGAGATCATCCATTCACCCACACCACATCTCACAAAGACACGGCGGTTGGAACCAAAAATCTTCAATTTGGACTCCAGAACAAAGGACATATTTTCACCGGTCTAATGTCCATTGCTCATGTTTTTTGGCCCAAGCAAGTCTCTTATTATTATTGGTGTCCTTTAGTAGTGGTTTCTTTGCAGCAATTCGACCATGAAGGCCTCTGAACAGTTGATGTTGAGATGTGTCTGTTACTTGAACTCTGTGAAGCATTTATTTGGGCTGCAATTTCTGAGGCTGGTATCTCTAATGAACTTATCCTCTGCAGCAGAGGTAACTCTGGGTCTTCCATTCCTGTGGCGGTCCTCATGAGAGCCAGTTTCATCATAGTGCTTGATGGTTTTTGCGACTGCACTTGAAGAAACTTTCAAAGTTCTTGACATTTTCCTTATTGACTGACCTTCATGTCTTAAAGTAATGATGGACTGTCGTTTCTCTTTGCTTATTTGAGCTGTTCTTGCCATAATATGGACTTGGTCTTTTACCAAATAGGGCTATCTTCTGTAAACCCCCCCT